ACTACATTCCCAGGTCTCAGGGAGAAAGGTTAGGCTGGTGGTTATGACCAGACAAACCTCACTTCCAAGGTCTTCCTTGGTGGCGGGGTGACCTTGGGCCTGCTGCTTAATCTCTAAACCGGCCTCTTTTCATTTAGGATGGTGGTGCTGCATTACGTAGGGAAAGCGTTTTGAATAACGCCTGGCATAGAGTAAGCACTCTCTAAATGCTGGCTGTTACTACTGCTCTAGTCAAGACTGATCTCCCGGAACACAGAGTATACACCTCGATGGCAGGACCACCCAGTTCCATCTGAGACCTGTGTCACTGCCTGGAAACAGCAGTGGTCATCTTGGTTCAGTTTACAGCATGGTTCCGCTTACTCTGCTGAACAAACCCTCACCTGAAGGCCAGGCAATGGAAATTTTTATTCTAACCTTTCATACTGATTTGAGCACCCCTGGCTTGGAAGCTCATTAGAGCCTCAGAGACAAAAATAATTTATTAATCAAATATTGTGCACAGATGAAACAACATATCACCTACTAATGAAAGGAGAGGCTAGCACTGAGGCAGGCATCTCTTTTATTCCCCTTGGCTTATGGCTCAATTAACAATGAACAGTGACTGATGTCCTGAAAGGACGCTTTTTGTCTGCCCTCCTGGGTTTTCTCAGGAGGAGTTAGAAATAAGATGCTTGACAGAGCTTAGTCAGGAAAAAATTAAAGTCTACAGTAAACCACCTCTGTCATTTGTGGGTAAAATATACTTGTAAAAACCTTAGACAACACCAACACATACTTATTGACTTTCCTTTTGGAAAAATTACTTTCCTAACATTAGAATGTTATGGAACATATCTAGAAACTATTTTTTTCCATGCTGAAAATTCTTGAGCACTTCTCTCTCTCTAGTTTATGTTCACAAGTTAAAGGAATCACTCCTTTTGAGGGAAGGTTTCTTATAGAAAAGCTTCAAAGCTGAGAAGGTAGACCACACTGTAAGTTCCCTGCTTCACTAGGCTGGCCGTGGTGGCAGACGCAGAGCTCCCAAGCTCGTTGTCTCCTTGAAAATGTACTATGATTAGAATTGGACACCAACGTAACTGTCCCCAAAGTAGGAAATGCAATGATTTTTGGGGGAATTACGCAAAAATAAACAAGCTGTGATTGAAAATCACGAGTCCATATGCAGACCTTATCTCTGGTTTTGCTATCAGCTAATGGGTGCTGGGTGGAGACAGGGCCAGGTGGAGCTGTGACCATGTTTCAATGCTCTCTGTTTCTGTCACATCCTCTCACCATGCCCCCAAGCATCCTTTATTATGAAAATCAGGTGGCCTCTCAGAAAAGCCTCAGAGCTCTGTTATCTATGCCTCTTCATGTCACCCACCCCATGTATGTCTTTTCTCATGAATACATATTTTTAGCCTAAATGATTATAGCTGTTAGTAACACAGCTCTTACCATAAAACAAGCACAAAGCTAAGAATTTCACGTTATCTTATTTAATCCTTGTTATCATTTTATGATGTAGATAAAATTAATACCTTAGACTATTAATCAGTAAATTTCAGCTTAAGGAAGATAATTAAGTTGCCCAAGATCCTACAGCTACAAGTAGTCTGACTTCAGAGTCTGAGCTCTGAACTAATCACACTGACTTTAAAATCTAAGTGATCAGAGTGGCGGGCACACCCAGGCAAGGAGGTCCTCTGGGGCTTCCCCGTGGCTGAGGGCTGAGTTCTGCACACACCGGCCATGGAAGTCACCTGTTCCACAGCAATGGTAATACTATCACTGAATTCAGGAGGTAACTCTAGCCCTGCTTCCCACGACCCTTCAACATTTCCAAGAAGAGAGACACAGAAGTATATGGCCTTCATGAGCGAGAGCAAAGCATGGAGGAAGCGTAGTAAAGTGTCCAGAACCTCATCTCCACTCTGTCATAGCAGGTCCCCTTCTGCAGCCAGTGGCCAAGGCTTCTCTTTCAGCAGATTGATTCGAGACAAGAGAGGTGCCCCTGGCGCTACCTCCAGGCCCAGGAAGACGAACAGAACACTTACCACATCCCCAACACCAGGTACGTGCGGAAACCCTTAAGGGGGAAAGCTCTGTGCAAGACGAACACACTGAAATGCTACTTTACCCAGCTTCAGAATTCAGGGAGACATAGCCATTCAGCCTAAGCAAGTAAATAGGCTGAGAAAACAAAAGAGCAAAACAAAAAACTTACAGAGGAAAAATAAGATTCTGTATGCTGCGTGTCCGGTTTTTTGAGGTTAAAGATAAAAGGGCACATTCTGCCACTGGCAGAGCAGGTGCCCTGCAGCGGACCAGCAGCCAGGCCAGGAGAACACCCTTATGGGGCTGCAGCCCCCCTGAAGCCGGGAAGGGAGAAGAACCGGGGCCTCCTCAACAAGCCGGAGGAAACTGGCTCTGCTGAATGGCAAAGCGCCTGCTCGCAAAACCTGTCACGCGAAACCTCATGTGAAAGCGATCCCCCTAGAACACCCCGCAGGCACCTATTACACCCTCAAGTAATCCCCAGAGTCATGAAGGGAATGCAGGTCAGGCTGCACTGTGAAACAGTCTTGGGCGATAAAGAACGAGGGCATTTCCACCCCGAGCTCCCCACGCCTACCAGGACCGCCTGTGCCCTCCACCTGCCCGACTTCTCAGGCAGGCCCAGGACTGCTCCTCAGACTCGGGCAGCCCTGACCAGGCAGTGTCTAGAGGAACAGAGTCCTTGGGGAAACAGCTCCATCACGGCTTCTACCAGCTGAAGGAGAAAGTTCCAGCCTGCTCACTAATTCTACCACCGCCCCCTCCCCAGGCGGATCCAGCCTCTCAGAAACCAGGAGAGTTAGACGACTCCCACTCCTCCTTAGACTGTGACGGCTGCTCTGGGAAGGGGCCTCCACAGTTTGGATTGCTGGTGTTATGCAGGAGGCCCAGTGCGGGATGGCGGCGCTCTCCACCTCTCAAGAACCAGCTTAGCGCCTGGCCGGGTGGCTCAGTGGCTGAGTGGCTTGAAGGAGGCATCAGATCAACAACTTTCTCATATTGTTGTTTCTATCTCTCTGTCCCTCTCCCTTCCTCTCTCTGAAATCAATAAAAACATTTTTTTTTTTTTAAAGAATCAGCTTTGCATATGGATTGGGAAAGGTGCTTTCTGATGACCGCTCTCTGTCCCTATAGTTTACAGATAACGACTCACTGACTCCCTCCCCAAGGCCATAGTTTTTCTCCGTGGCTTTGACTGCTGGGTTGATTAAAAGAAAAGCAAAGCCCAGAGATCCCTGGGTTTTATGAGTGCTTCTGTCCCTTCTTCTGTCCTTTTGGGCCGACTGCTATTATGTGGCAGTATACAATTTTATTAGAATCCAAATATTTAGACAACTTGGAAGCAGTCTTATATTTTAGATTGAGAAGAAGAAAGACAAGTGGCTCCTTTGCCATTCCTACCACTGCAACAGGAACCTGAGTGCATGCCACTCACAAATTATAAATTCGTGGAAAGTCATATATTTTTTATCAATGGCACCCATGGGTAATACCAGAGGACAAGCCCACATCCTTCAAGAGAAAGCAGACCCTGAACTGGCACCAGGTTGTTTCTCGAGACTTCATTTTCTCACGTAGAAAATAGGAATGCCTGACATCTTTAACATGTTTTCCAGCTCCAAAATGTCATCATCACTTCATTTATCATCTACCATGTACAAGGCGCTATAATAACAACAGAAGCTAAAGCAAATAGAAAAAAGGGAAAGCCAAGAGATAAAAGACACAACCGATAAATGGATAAAATTAAAAGTGAATAAACTCTCCTCTCCGTCCGTTAGACCATGGACATAGAAATAGACACACATATGTGTGTGTAAGTATAGTTTCCAGGTAAGTTTCGTAACACGTCAAAGTGGTGTGGGGGGCTCCGAGGGGATCGAGGCAGGCCTAGGGAGCTGGGTGAGTCGGACTGTGACCTTTAAAGATGTGTAGGGTTAAACCAGTTGGGGATGATCAGAGATGTCAAAAATAGCAACAAGAACGGGCATCATGGTTAATTCATTAATAGAGCAGCAATTGACACAATGAATAGTAATAAGTGTGAAGTCCATAGGTGTCCGGAAGAGAGAGGAGGAAGAGAGAGAAAGAGGGAGGAAGGTGAAGTCACCTAGCAAAGTCGGTGAGCCGGAGCGTGAGGTTCAGGGTCAAGTTTGGGGACTAAGAAGATGGAAAATTAAATTGGAAAATAGTTTCGATCCTTAGGGCAAAATATCACAAGCTACAAATGCACGTCCAATAAATACCTGTTGTGTATGCCATTGCTACTTAAAGCCCGATTATGGCTATTTTGTTTGGAAACTAAATATTCCAATTATAATATAGACACGTTCATTGTTTACAGATTAGTTCTTTAGTCTGTATCACATCTGTCTATTGTTGCTACTGATTAAATAGAGCCATCATGACAAATTTTACCTCTCTCCATATTTATTGAATGGTGCATACCAAAATCAAAATCAAAATCAAATGCATTCTCTTGGGAGGGAGGTCAATTAGCTTGTGAAGCTCAGAACCCACCAGGGGACATTGGGCAAGATGTCCTCATTTGTGACCTCCTGGGGTTGGGTCAGGATATTTCTAGGGCTCCCTTTAGGTCTACCTTGATTATAAGTTGCACATGCATATTGTCAAGGTGAATTACCAATCACGTTGTATCTCAATAAAATAAATGGATTACACACTCTTAGAAATTCTTAGTGAATAATTTCTGGGGTGATAAATGTCTCTCCCTCACAGGGAATTATCTACAAAGTACACAGCTAAGAATATGGCACCGCCCACAAGTTAGTGCCTCCAATCCTCCAGGGTATCCCCCGCCTCTTACAGACTCATGACCAATAGCTTCAAAAGAAGTAAGCGCGATAGGTTCCTTCAGCTCTAAAACCTTTCTTTCATAACAATAGGGAGACGGGCTCTTGAGAAGCACATAAACAATCCTGTGCACAGTAAAACTACTTTCTTTGGAGCAAACGGCCGTGGGACCCGTGGCGCTCCCTTCTGGGCCTGGGCCCGACTGCGGAGGCCCCTTCCCCGCTCTCCTCCCCCGACTCATCCTCCTGTACTGCGTGAAACAGCGGCTTGGGCCTTAATATCACCCTCCGGCCTCCGCCGGCAGGCTCCTCCTGGCTTGTCCTTGTCTGATACCCAGAGCTGGGTGGCTTCCCTCCTCCGTTGGAACTCTGCGTTGCGGCTGTTTGTTGAGCCAGTTGTCTGTCTTGAAGGGACCTCGTTGGCGGGTGTGCGCTGAACATGAGGAAGGACAGCTCTGAGCCACTGCCGTCCTCGCCTAGGAGATGATGACGAGAGAGGTGAGAGCAAGGCCTGAGATCAGAGAGAAGACAATATCCAGATGGCCAGGGCTCCGAGGGAAACAGTCCTTTCTGAGGCTCCAGCTCTAACACGCAACACTCTTATCAGCGTGATTTTCTCTTTTCAAGTTTGCTGCCCCAGCGGGAGAGTGGAATACAGTTGGCCCTTGAACAACATGGGATTAGGGCTACCAACTCCTTGCACAGTCAAATGTCTGCATCTAACTTTTGACTCCCCCAAAACTTTACTGATAGCCTACTGCTGACTGGAAGGCTTCCTGCTAACATAAACAGCCTATTACCACATATTGTGCACGTTAGATGTATTTCCAGAACTGTAGTTTCATAGTAGAGTAAGCTAGAGAAGGTAAAATGTCATTAAAAGTCATAAGGAGAAGAAAATACATTTACAGTACTGTACGTGGTTATTTTAAAAATCCACATATAAGTGGACCACGCAGTTCAAACCTGTGTTGTTCAAGGACCAACTATAGAAGCTGCTGTGCAGGGTACCAAATAAATGGAAATGCACAGAAACGCGTATCAAGCTGGTGGCTTCCAGGTAAGCAGGGGGTGCTCTTCACAGAATCAGAACAACTGGCCTTAAGGCACAAAGATGCTTTGTGCTGTCAAAGACCAAAGCTACACTGACGGTTACTGGTCCTGTGAGGCGAAAATGGCTGTTTTTATCTAAGTTTGTTTTTTAATCAGTGGTTACCAGAAAGCGTTACATCGGAAGTTTCTCTCCTTTTACCCTTGAACTAGCCACTTTTGGAGGTACAGGGGTGGGGGATGGGCACAGTAGAGAGCCGCGTGTGGCAAAATCATCACGTCTCGATGCTCTCATTTCAGAAGAGACAGGATGAACAGACTGGGGCCGGGGCACCGTGGTGACGACACCGGAGAAAGGCCACTCGCTGGAACGTAGTCAGTGCCGGTCACTGTGCTAATCGCTCTACATCTGTTGAGTCATTTAACCCTTGTGACCCTCTGTGATGAGGACAGGCACGATGCTCCTTTCATAGGGGCAGGTTTCAAGGAGTGACTTTCAGCATCACGCTGAAGACAGGACTGGAGCCTGGGCAGAGCCCGTCCAGCTGCTCACACCCTCCGCCGGCTGCTGCACACGCGTCGCGCAGGTCAGGACGGCTGCGCCCGGAGAGCAGGAGGGCCACTGGGCATCTGTGTCGGCCCCTCTTGGGTGACCGTCCGAATAGCTACGCCACCCCCAGGACGTTGCCTTTCTTCCCCTCTGCACACATCCCCGGAGGAGTATTTTTCACAAGCTCTTTGATTCTTATTTCCTCAATGTTTTAACCTCATAAATTTATTTTCTCTTTAAATATTCTCCTGAGAATTTAGGTATTTTTAAGGCCTTTAATTTAAATCTGAAAGCCAGTTCTTTCTCCCACTTTCTTCTGCCTCCTAAAAAAGCAAAACAGAAACCCAAACCCCCAGGGCTAGAGCTAACGTGCACACTGGTTACACTTGGCAAGACGTGCCTAGGATACGAGACATCACAAAGCCGTAAAATGTCTTTCTCAAGAATGCTTTTTCCAAAGTGCCACCAACTTATCCTGAGAAGGTGGCTGGAAGCTGAGGGGGCAGAGGCTGGAATCAATGCTTTGGATGAAGAAAACATAGTATATTACTTGCCCATGTTGTCATGACTTCCCTGAGGTTGTGCCCTGAGGTCGGGCCTGGAGCAGAGCCCCCCATGCCCAGGCCCTGGGAACACTCCCTGAGCACCTGCCCTGAGGTCGGGCCTGGAGCAGAGCCCCCCATGCCCAGGCCCTGGGAACACCCCCTGAGCACCTGCCCTGAGGTCAGGCCTGGAGCAGAGCCCCCCATGCTCGGGCCCTGGGAACACCCCCTGAGCACCACCTGAGACAGCAGGGCCGCGGCCCCCCAGAGCCGCCCTCCCCCTGCCTGGTCCCCACTGCTCCTCCGGCAGGGCTTCCCCCAGACGCTAGTCCCCCTTCCTGGCCACTCCTGGTCATTAAGAAGTGGGGCCTGGGCACCAGAAGAAGGCTCGGGCAGGCGGCTTGCAACTTAAACCGGCAGATCTGCCCTGAGTGGGAGGGCGCGCCCTGGAAAGCAGAGGAGGGGGCCGCTCTGTCCCGCTGGCACAGCCACCCCCCCGGCGGCCCCAGGCAGCAGGGTCCAGGGCGACAGCAGAGCCCTCGGCAGCAAAACCCGAACCTGGTCCAGCTGCCACCGGCGAGGCCGCAGCTCTGGACACGCGCCCGGGGCAGAGTGAGCGCAAGCAGGGACAGGGCTCCCTCGGGGCCGCAGAGCCGGCACCCGGGGTCAAGGCGGACGGCCTGGTCCGGGCCCAGACTCCAGCCTGCCCTCCCCACGCCCTCCGCACGGGTCTGTTTTGTTTCAGTTGCAGTAAACTGCACGTAACATTTCAGCGTGTTTTTCACGTTCACCGTTTGAAGCGCACAGGCCGGGGGCGCCAAGGGCACTCGCCCGCCCCGCTGCCTCCGTCCCCCGACCCACCCGGGTTCTCAGCAGGCTCAGGGCACCGGGGGCGTCCAGGCAGGACCTCTGAGCTCGGGGCACCAGGTGAACCCCAAGGCCAAAGGAGCCTTGGAAGAGAGTGTGGAGACCCCTCAACCAGCAGGAGCTCCCAGGCATCTAGCATGAGGGCTTCTGCCCCTGGAAGGCAAAGGCGAGTGAGGAAGGCAAGTGCTTTGCGGGCGGCAGCCTGGTCCCCCGGGTTCCCGCGGTGGACCGGCCCTGCGTTCTCCCCAGGGCCCCTCGGGCCATTTCCTAACCTTGTTCTGGGGCAGAAAGACTTCACGGGTTTACGTGATTGTGCCCAGATTCACACTGAGGGCGATCGCAGTCTCCCCGGGACGGTTACTGTAATTCTTTAAAACTTATTAAGGGTAAGTCCCACTTCACTGCTTTTCCTTCTCAGATTTCTAGGTTTACCACTCTTTTCACTCACTTAATGAAATTTAGGACCAGTTGAGCACATTTGAAAGAAAAAAATCATTGGGACAAAGACTTCATTTCTAGATCGATTCAGGTAGAGCTGATGTTCCCTATGTGTTGTCTCCCTTTCCCAAGCACCTCCATCTGCCATGTCGCCTCTGATCTCCCTCAATAGTAACAGTAATAATAATAATAATAATAATAATAATAATAATAATAATAATAAGTAATATTTGCTGCCATTTGCTCGGCTCCAGGCACTGTTCTGAGAGCTTTCTGTGAACTGGTTAGCTTCATGTCAGAGCAACACTTTTTATGATTTTTACTGAAAATGTGAGTGAGATGCCTTCTAGGGCATCCACTGAAAGGGTAGGATCTTTCGACCTGATAACCTGCTGAATAATATAAACGCATTGCCAAACGCTAAATAGCACACGTCTGGAACGAGTCCCCTTCCCGAGGCACGGTCCTCCTTCACTGTTCTGCCGCATTTTGTGTACAGTGTTTTGCTTAAGATTTGTGCGTTAGTCTCAGGGGAGCTGTTCTCTGCTCCCACGGCCTGTGATAATGGGCTCGTCTCATGGGAAATGACTGTGAGACTTTCATGTTTTCTGTTCACTCGAACAGCATAAATAGCACCGGGTGAGTCAGAGCAGGAAGGTTTTTTAAATTAATCTATTGTGCACCCTGTAAACGGTGCTCTTTTTGTGTTTGCTTTTGTTTGTGGGATACCTCTTTAGTAACATAAAATAATACCAGTCACAGGACTGTGATCTGAGAAGAGATGACTAGACCAAGGAGATGGAACTGAGAGTCCAAAACCCTCTCGGGATGAGCACAGCTTTAGAACAACAAAGATGGCATTTCATCTTCACGAGAAACATGGTGTCGGGACAGGAACATAGCCATTCAAAATAATCTCTGTCTTAATCTGCACCAAGGTAAGTCTCAGGTGATTTGAAATTTATATGAGAAAGTCAAACTGTTAAAGTTCTAGATGAAAAATATTGGGTACAATTATTTTCTAATTTTTCTGTGGAAGATCAAGCAGATTTGATTCATCAGAATCTGAATGGCAAGTATGTCTAAAAACTAAAAGATAAATATGAAATGAGAAAAAATCATTAACAACAAATATGAGACAATAGACGATATCTTTGTTATAGAATGTTCTTCAAATTCAGTTTAAGGAAACGAGCAACCAAATAAAATAAAAGTGGGCCAAGGAAAAACAGAAACTTCCTCAAAAGAAAGACAGATGTTTCTAAAATTATGAGAAGATGTTAAAATAAAAAGACTAATAGGAAAATTAAAATTTGTGCTATCACATCATAGATTACTCAAAAATCTGACAATAGCCAGTGATGGTAGAAGTGTTCAGCAATGACCATTCTCACAGACTGTTGGTGTACATAAATTTAAATGTATATAATTCTTGACCTAAAAATTTTACTGCCAGGAAAAAATTCTAAGGAAATGCATATTTGTGCAAAAATCAATCACATGTGATCCAAGGCATTTGTTATAGATCATTGCTTATATTCATTCAAAATTGGAAATCCCGTAAATGTTTGTCAATAAAGATTTAGCTAAATAAACCATGGTGCTTTTATATAATTGATTCTTATTAAGTCATTAACAATTATCAAAAGGTTCATATCTATTCACATAGAAATATGTCTGCAACCTATGGTTGAGTTAACTAGGCAATTTATAAAAGTTACAAAACAATGACTACATTATGGTTTTATGTATAATATGATGCTGGTGTGTTTGTGTTTTTTTTTTTTTTGTATCAGGTGTGGAGGTATGGGTAGGGAAGGGATCAAGAGGTATAGAGAGAATTATAGGAGGATTCCTAATAGAACATTCTATAGTGGTTATATCTGCATTTGGGGGTTTCATCAAGTACTTTTAACTTTCTTTTTATGCTTTTCAATACTGGTAGATTTTGTTTCTATATCAAGCAAGTTTTTAAGTCAGAAAGAAAAAGTTTAATTTTAAAGAATAATATACTCACTTTTCAAAGATTTAATTCTAAAGTCTTAGGTGTTTAGTTTATTTGAATTTTAAATGTGATTTAAAGTCTTGAAATTTTAGGAAAATTTAAATTGATATCATGCATGCATGTGTGTGTGTGTGTGTATGTGTAGATATTAAAAAGGAAACATTTAAACAGTAAATTTGATGAAATTATTTTAGCAAAATTTAACCAACTTGGGAGAATTCTGGAAAATTTTAAACCATGGGTGAATTCTGGGACTTCAAAAATGTGCCCATTTTTTGATTCTTTTAGACAGAACTCAGCAAATTAGGACCTTTGGGCTGCCTCTTCTTTTTGTATGGCCTGTGAACTAAGAATGGTTGTTACATTTTTAAATGGCTGAAAAAAATTAAAAGAAGAATATTTCATGACAAGTAAAATGATAAAAAATTCAAATTTCAGTGCCCATCAATAAATTTTTGAATTAGATTAATAAAAAAGTTGTTCTCTCCCTCTCTCTCCCCCTCTCTCCCTCTCTCTCCCCCTCTCTCCCTCTCTCTCTTTCTCTCTCTGTCTCTCTCTCCCTCTGTCGTAGAAATGCCTGTATAATATTCGTGATTTTTCATTTTGGCCTCCCACCCCCAAAACACGTACCACCGGCCCTGGACAGAGCAGAGGACGCGCGGCCCGGGCGGTCACCTGTGCGGCCGGCAGCCCGCGGGCCTCTGGGTGCTCGAGGGTCGCTGCCGGGGAAGGAGAGGTAGCGGATGTTTTTGGTGCCGGCCTGCGGAGCGAGCAGGAATGGAAGCAGAGTTAGCTACCGCAGTTCAGCTTCACCCCGCACTCGAAGCGGAGGACACAGGCTGCGCCGCGGCTTCTTGTTCGAATTCCTGGTTTCAGCTACCTTTGTTTGAAACAACAGGCTGCCTCGCCTTTCATGTGTATTCGCTCTCCTTGTCATGGTAAAATATGCCCTGGAAACCTCCCAGTTACTCCCCCAGCCACACCGCGATCGGGTGGGCAGAGGGCCTACCCGGCCCAACCTCCGTCCCCCAGTCCCAGGAGGACCGGCTTGCTGTGGCCTCAGATAGAACAGCTCGGATGCACACGGCTGATGGGCAAGAAGGTCCGAGGGTCGCGGCTAAAGGGGCTTTCTCACTGGGAGCCGTAGGCCTCCTGGAGCCAAGGGCCGGGGTTCCCGCAGGCCCGGCGGGGTCAGGGCCTGGCACCGTGGCGCCCGGTCTAGACTCACCGTGCCGTGAGTGCGCTGCAGTCCCTGACGCACCCCGAAGGAGAGGGCCCTTGAGCTCCTAAGGCCCTGGGCCCCAGAAGGGATATCTAAGGATGGTGTCCTACACCCATTGCTTTTGTATTTCTCTGTCAGCAGGGCAGTGGTTTTGCTTGTTCGTTTAAGTATCAGGGGGCGTCACCTGCGGAGGCCCTGCCCAGGGACGGGCCCAGCCCTCGTTGTGTCCGCAGGCCCCTCCTTACCGGCTGTCCCCACGGCAGGCTGTGGCCTTTCCTCAGGCTCTCTCGGAGGGTGTTCTGGCGGCGGATCAGAATCTCTTTAGCCTGCTTCTCAATTGTTTGGGGGTTGAGGTTGTATTTGTTGTAGGATGGTGTCTGCGGAAAGACGAGACGTCAAACACGAAAGGAATCTCGGGTATAACTACCAAGCTCAGGAGGCCATGAAAATATCACGGATTAAGACGACTAGAGCAAGAAGACACCATGAAGTCGTCTGAGCATTTTCCTTAATTACAGGGGAGCAGGCTGTGGCCCCAAGAAGAAAGGCCTGTGACCGAGGCCACCGCTACTGGGACAGACCTGCGGTTGGAGCGGGTGCTTCCTGGCTCACAGAGCAGTGCTCGCCAGCCTCCCGTCCCTCTGTCCGCCCTGCAGGTCCCCCGACACCCACAGACCTGGGCTGCCCCATATACACACTTTCTTTCCTAGGCTTTGCTTCTTTTAAAGATTTTTAAAAATTGATTTCTTTTAGAGAGAGAAGAAGAGAGAAGGAGAGAGAGAGAAATATTGATGTGAAAGCAGAACATCGATCAGCTGCCTCCTGCACCCCCCCTCGGGGACTGAGCCCGCACCTTGAGCACGCGCCCTGACGGGGCATTGAACCGGCGACCTTTCCACGCACAGGTTGAGCCACACCGGCCAGAGCCTAGGTTGTGTTTTTCATACTAGGCTAGTGGTTACTGAATATAATGAATCAGGAAACTGTCAGAACTACTTTGGGAATTTCTATAAGGTTGCTATTTTTAAATTTTGCCCACTAAAGGTACATTTAAAAAATCACCCAAATACATCATCTCGGGTAAAGAACAGTCCTTTGAATTGAATAAAATTTAGCTTTATGAAAAGTTTCTTCCTTGTTCTGACCAAGGCCAGTGAAAACCTGTCTTGAACGACAGACCAATATCAGTCCTCAGATGCTTACAAAGTGCATAACTGGAGCGTCTCTCCCTTCTTTTCACTCGAGGTTCACCAGCGAGTGTCCTGTTTCCTGTGGGTCAAGGCTGCAGATGCGTCCCTCTAGGTTAACGGGTGCTTTAGTAAGGACATTCAGTTCAACAGCAAGAGAGCAAATGCTCTATGCTCCAGACACCATGGCAGACGTGGGGTTTTAAACAATGGACACATTAGAATTATGATCTTCAAAAAGCTTATAGTCTACTGGGGGAGTTACAGATACGCATATACTGTTATGTGCGCAGGTAAGTGATGGGTGCCGGGGTCTGCGGGGAGTTACGGTGGACAGGCCGAGGGCACACATCGCTCGTTCACTGTTTGCATTTTAGTGTATACACATCCAGGTAAGTACATTTGTGGCCTTTATCATCTATTAACTCAATAACAGTTAACTAATCCTCACAAAATGGCAACTGTCTGAAAATAGTTCCATAAAGAAGGCATAAGTTGGGGATCCAGGAAACAAAGGTGAATTAGCAAAGCCAACTTTCTCTTTCTGCTGCTGGGAGACCTTTGACAGGCACGCTTGACAAATTAACCAATCTGACAAGAACTTGTCCAAAAATCTGAATTTTGAAGACAGTTTGAAATATGGACTTTTACCCACCATCACTAATGATGGATCTCAACCTACATATATTTTATACACTGAAACATTAAAGAATGACATATGACACTATCCTAAAAATATCTAAGACGTGAGCATCTGGAATACTGAGACGAACTTTTATAATTTTTATCAATGTTAAATTCATGCATAGCTGAACTTTGTGTGTGTTTACCACATATACATATGTGTATACATATGTGTGTGTGTATATATACATATGTTGCTAGTAGGGATTTCCTACACCTTGATTTGAGGGAAGGTTGTACTTTAACAAAAATTCAGACACTTTTTTTTTCTATTTTGCCTCATACTGCATGACTCATGTGCTTGCCTGTCTGAAGGGAGCATAGTAGGTCCTATGCACATAATGTATATTTAAGTTTCTTTCCTTTCCTTCCTCCTTTTCTGCCTTTTAATGAGGGAACTGTTTAAAACCTGTATTTCCCACTAAAACTTGAGCTCTATGGGCTAAAGAAGTGCATTCTAGATGTGCATTAAATCCTTGATGAAGGGAACGGAAGTTAAATGAATTGTTTTCCTTTGAAAGTATATGGAAATTCTGAGTGTGACCCTATCATCTAGGCAGCCCCAGGGGTGCCCATCAGCTCGGACTTATCCTCAGCATCTGGGCAAAGGCTGGTCTCCCCTCGTGTAGGTTTGGAGTGTTTCTCATCTCCACCCCACTGCGTTCTGAAGCGCTCTTGCTCTGGTCGTCCCACTGAGAACCTCCAGAGGTGAGCTCTTCAGCTTCCCCACCAGTGAAGACTTTGTTCCAGATGTGCTGAGCGGTACAGCTTCAAACAGGAGTTGCTGGAGCCCCCCCAGGTAGAAGAGACCCCACAGGGCCAGCTCAGTTTCAGATCAACTATGTATTAGGACCTCCGGTCAAACCCTGCGCTCATTCCAGCCTTGCCCTGACGTGACTCCTGACTCCCAAGATGGCCTTTTCCAAGATGTGGACTGAGAAATGTCCCAACCACCGTGGGAGGTCTAGTGACCTAACACCCAGACTAGAGGACTGCAGAGGTCACCTTTTGTGACAGTCCTCAAAACTGTAGATTGCCCACTAGAACCAAAGCAGTCAGATGGCTGTCCTGGGTGGCATCTGCAGAGCTGCATTTCCTTGGAGAGAGCAAGAGGACGTGGTGAGGTTTGGAGCCATGGCCTCTGAGGAAGCCAGTGAGACAGGAAAGACAGGAGGGGAGAGCTAGTGAGCTCTGCTCTCTGAAAGCTGCACAAAGCGGAGGCAGAAGCCATCTCAGAGGCTTGGAACTCCCCTCTGTGTATTATCTGTGTTCTCCCCATGTGACTTTCCATAACCCATCTGCTTATTTGGGGGAAGGGGGCTACCGCATAGCTTTGAAGGGAGAAACCTCGAGGACAGACTGGATAGGCGACCGATAAAGAGGAGAGGTGGCTGCCTGGATAACTGCATAAAAGAAACAGTGAGAGGACGGGCAGTGAGCTCGTTTTAGAAGGGGCTAGAGACCCAGGATCTCTAGCTCCACGTCTGGACGCCTCCCTAAATTCAACCTTCGTCAACATGGGGAAAGGCTGAGTAGCAGGCACCCCGGGCTCGGGCCCTCGCTAAGGCAGCCCACATTCCTGAAGCCAGGGAGTTCCTCACTCTGGCTAAGGCCGAGGGCGATAATCTGCCCGAAACAGTTTCACTTGGAATGATTTGAAAGCTGTTGCCTTCACTCCGCGTGAGCTAGGGTGGCCGCTGACCTATATTCCTTCAGCAGGTGCAGAGACTTTCCATGACACATTCCCCTTGATCACTGACCTTTCCAAAACAGGGAGCTGGGGACATTCACTTTCACTGCATCCCGTGAATACAGTCACAGAGAGAGCTCCGGACAGGCAGCTGGAAGACCTGGGCTCATGTGTTTGTTTAGTGACCTTAAGTCAGATAAACAACTCCCCTAACCTCAGCCTTTTCTACTTGAAAATGAAGACCTCTGAGTAGATAATTTTTGGGGCCCATCAAGACTGATTTATGACATAGTCACAAAAACCAAGGCCCTCATAAACAATTCACTTACAATCATACTCAAGAATTGGGAAGTTCAATGGAATCCTCAAACTTAAACTCCTAATTAGAGGACCTGAGTTTACATAACATTGGACACAGTCAAAGCTCCAGAATGACTCACCCACTGACTCAAGAAATGTCCTTCCTCTGCACTTTGGACCAGTTCCTAAGTGCTGGTATAGTGCTGGTATTGTTTTTTGGAAAAAGGTACCTCTTTCCACCTTTCGTTAAGGCTTTCAGCATTGTAGTTTCTGCCTTCTAACCGAAACCGGCTCAGTTTCCCGAGCTCTGCTACAGCCAGCGGGTCGAGAAGCTCCGCTCGGCGCCTGGGGCAGCGATGAGCTCCCCGCTTGTCCTCTGGAGGGACCGGGAGGCTGCTGGTGCTGGGAAGCAGCAGGTTGCAGGGCTAGGGCAGCCTGACCCCTAGGGCCAGCAAGGGGATTTGCATTTCTTTTTATACCACAGGTGCCCATTTTGCAGCACAAACATAACAATTAACCTTCTGTTCTCCAGACTAAGCAGGGAGGGATTGTCCAGCAAAGAGGCTGCTTTAGAGAGCGTGGCGTGAGCAGGAGCTGGTTCCCGAAGGACTGGCTCCCAGGACAGGCACAGGGACTAGCCAGCCGGCTTATACCCACCCTCCGCCGAACTTGGTACATGTTGCGTGTCAGGATGTCCCGCATGGACTCCACATCTTCGGGGGACAGCCTTTTGATCCCTTGTGTCCTCTGGGCCCTGGAAGCATCATTGGAGAAAGACAAGCATTATTTTTCCATCTTGGCAAGAGTGCCGGGACCCGTGGGGGTTCTAAGTTCCGGAGCCCCTGTTTTTCATAATCTTTCCTACTGTGAAAAGTCAGTACACGTCTTGACTCCCATTTTGAAAATATAGTTTCTTTGCCTTTAGCTTTTATGTTGAAAATATAACTCATTTTATTCCTTTCATATCTGCTGTGATCAAACATGTTTGTAAAATAAAATAAAAGTCAATTATTAGAAAATAAAATAAAAAATACTATAAAACGCTGACCAAATGTTTTACTATTAGATTAAACAGAAATAAGACTCCCCAGTGAAGGCTGACTCTTGGTCAGGTCTCTGTGTACCATGGGCAAGCCCAACAGCTCATAGACGGCTCCTCACCCACCACACGTTCACTAGCATTCAGCTAAGAGTATTACAGTTCTATGGGTACTTTCATGAATACAGCTACTGTGGGATTGTTCCTTTAGGGATTTTATCTTTGGTTGAAGAATATTGTAAGAAACTAGTATCGTAATTTACAAGGAGAATTGGAACATTTTCATCATGAGAAGGCCAACCCAGTTCTGAGACAGTGGGAACTCTGTGAGAGTCTAGAAACAGTCGACTGCCCACTGCCTCTGCACTGGCCAGCTCCCCACATTTTCCTTCATCACTGTCCCCCCTCAAAGGGTTCAAAATCCAAGTCATGCCCAGGTTAACAGTCAATGCACAATTGTGCTCTGGAGATTTCAAAGTCATGACATTGCTATGTGCAGAATTTGCACTGACAGATGTATTTGATTTCAATCATTTGAATTTCATGCAGGTAATGTCTATTACTGTTGCATGAGTAATGTATGTTCGCTGTAGAACATAAGAACAAAAACAGAGAACTAAAGAAATTAAACTCACCTTTTAATACTATTGCCTCTCTTAACATCTCGGTGTAAACCCTTACAGAGCCTTGGTTTTCCCCCCTCTCTAGCTGCGGCTCTTCTGCATACACAGGGGCACTGCTGTGCTAGCATCTGCTTGCGAAGGTCTCAGGATAACTGATCAGATTGATGCGTAGTTACTAGTTTCCATACAGGCCACTCTGAAAGTATTTTTCCCAAGCATTGGTAGCAATACAGCCATAAATAGCAAGGACATTCTGTAAGTAATGTACAGTTGGCAGAAGATGTTTAAGGCCGTGAGGACTAGCTATCACAGTGTGCCAGGGTTTATTTAGCAATGCTATCTGCACACTGATTAATACCATTTCTATACGATCACTGAAATCAGAGTTTCCATATCTTAGAGCTACAAATGTCAACACTGTGGAGACCCAGTTACCACCCTTGGTGAACTGAATATTATCATAAAGGCATTTCACCTTCACTGCTCAAATGTCCTTCAAATAAAATGTATTCTGATTCAGATACACCCACACATTCCCACAATCTGAATACACTCCTTTATTATGGTGGAAGTAATCTATTGCTAAGCAGAAAAAACAGCTGATCAAACAGTCCATTTTCTGTATGCGTAATAAAACAACCAATGGGAAAACCACTGGTAAAGGGCACGTTAAAGTTAAACTTCAGGTAGCAGTAGATGTAACGTGGCGAACTCCTTGGTTTATAACTGACCCTTTAGGAAGCGCCAAGCTTAACGGAAGGTCCGCTCAGGCTGCTGGCTGGCTGTGTGATACGGCACCCCCAGGCACCGTCTCCCCTGAGCCACACAGAAGCTACAGCTAGGAAGTGACACGGGCACACTGTTTACCTGGGCGAGGTGACGCCTGGAGTTTCCACATGCTACTCAACTAGCAGAATCACCCCTGAAATAATCATATCACAAGCACGGGAAAGACACAATCTTTAGAAAAATGAAAATAATTTCTTGGTCAAAAAGAGGAAAATTATAAACTGAAAGACCTTTGTCATTGGAACCTTCATTCATTATCCATAAAAGAGATCTCTGTCACATTAAATAAAAGTCCTGTGGAAATTTCATGGCTGTTGAAATCAAACAGGAAAGTGTGAATCTAAATGTATTTGAATAAAAGGTTCACACTTATCTTAATTTTTTAAAAAATGAGATGCTATAATCATGTAAAAAGAGGCTTCAATTCCAAACAATATAGATATAAAATCTGGTAGATGTTATATTCGTGCCGTAATGTTAATTCCCACACGTTAAATGTCACACCCCGATTCATTCAGAGGAACCCATCCTCATTTAACACCTTTACACATGAAACCCACGAGAAATATACGGTGCGGTGGCTCAAGGCCATGCCCACGGTGCGGGCAATGTGCCCCACAGCTCCTCTGTGAGTGTGTTTGCTCAGTGCCTACCTCCCATTAAACTTATTGGGGTGAAATTTTAGGAAGGTCGCCTCGATGGACAAGGTTTAGAATAAGTGGAGAGTGGCAGAGAAGCCGGACTCCCCACAACACCATTTCCATCATGGAATGAAAATGGCATCGGAGTCTTCATGCCAGAGCCTTTGGCATAAGAATGCAAGAGCTAATCTTAGACCTGTCAATATGCGATCAAATAAAAAACTTTAATCTGTAAGACATTTATACTTTTTATAAACAACATATTAAAATTATTTGGGAGTTTTTAAATATAATATTTTGAAGTTGTATAGTTGTTTGCTATGCTTATAATTTATAAATATTTTAATATTTTAAAAATATTAACCAAATATTTTTTAAAGCTTCTACATTTTAATCAATTTGAGCCTCTATCCTCTGGTATTTCTAAGAGCTTATTACTCCCTGGTAAAATGAGATGCCTCAGGCTTAAAATAATAATTGAAGCACATGCTCTACCTAGTCCATTGGGCTGTTTTGAGGTCCAAATGAAAGAGTGCGCGTAAAGCCAACGCCGCTCCGTAGCAGCGCCCACTGCACGCAGGCAGCCCTGGTGGCGGGGCTCTGAAGGTCATGGAGTGTGCAGATCTAAACCTCTTGCAGAACAATTGCTTAAACTTCTAAAGAAAAAAATATATGTGCACTTTGCTGTTTTTATTTTACACAGAATAATAAAAAGTGAGCTGAATACACACTTCTTTTTCCTATTATTGTATGAAAGTTTATTTATTAAGAAATTAGCTGCTTTGATCTAAGGAGGGGAATTCCTTTTTGCTTGATGTCCTACATATTTCTGATAAGATCAAATAAATGCAATTTAACTACTAAACTTTTTTTTTTTTAATCCTCACTGGAGGATATTTTTTCCATTGCTTTTCAGAGAGTGTGGATGGAAGAGAGAGAGAGAGAAACATTGATATGAGACATTGATTGGTTGCCTCCCGCACACGCCCAGCGGTGCTGGGGATCCAGCCTGCAGCTGAGGCAGGTGCCCTTGACCGGAGTTGAACCCGAGACCCTTCAGTCTGCAGGCTGATGCTCTAACCACCAGGCAAACCTGCCTAGGACTTAACTACTAAACTTGAGTTAAGTATACGTTTAGAAATTTTCCTCTCCACCCGTTTGGACAACAGATGGAAAAACCTTGTCTCTCCCCTATAAGGCTCTCTTACTAATCTTGAATCAATGTGTTCAAACTGTCTGAAAAAAATAATTGAAGCAGCAGAGCCCCCCGCACCCCCCCCAGGTAAAGCTGGCTTAAAAATTCCTTGAGGTCAGAAACTGGGCAACGGTTCATGACCAACACCAAGTCACACAGAGACTCAAATGCTGTCAGTGCAGGATCAGCTGATCGCCATCAGAGATAAGCGCGCCCACATTCCTAGACCGAGGGCTCACACGGCCCCCAGCGCACCTAGGGCCCAGCGTGCCTGACCGAGCTGGCCCCGTGCGCCCTGAGCAGCCGTCACCCTGCACCTAGGGCCCAGCGTGCCTGATTGAGCTGGCCCCGTGAGCCCTGAGCAGCCGTCACCCTGCACCTAGGGCCCAGCGTGCCTGATTGAGCTGGCCCCGTGAGCCCTGAGCAGCCGTCACCCTGCACCTAGGGCCCAGCGTGCCTGATTGAGCTGGCCCCGTGAGCCCTGAGCAGCCGTCACCCTGCACCTAGGGCCCAGCGTGCCTGATTGAGCTGGCCCCGTGAGCCCTGAGCAGCCGTCACCCTGCACCTAGGGCCCAGCGTGCCTGATTGAGCTGGCCCCGTGAGCCCTGAGCAGCCGTCACCCTGCACCTAGGGCCCAGCGTGCCTGATTGAGCTGGCCCCGTGAGCCCTGAGCAGCCGTCACCCTGCACCTAGGGCCCAGCGTGCCTGATTGAGCTGGCCCCGTGAGCCCTGAGCAGCCGTCACCCTGCACCTAGGGCCCAGCGTGCCTGACCGAGCCCGGCCCCGGGCGCACTGAGCAGCCGTCACCCTGCACCTAGGGCCCAGCGTGCCTGACCCTGCTGGCCCTGTGCACCCTGAGCAGCCGTCACCCTGCACCTAGGGCCCAGCGTGCCTGACCCTGCTGGCCCTGTGCACCCTGAGCAGCCGTCACCCTGCACCTAGGGCCCAGCGTGCCTGACCGAGCTGGCCCTGTGCACCCTGAGCAGCTGTCACCCCGCACCTAAGGCCCAGCGTGCCCGACCGAGCCCGGGCCTGTGTGCCCTGAGCAGCCGTCACCCTGCACCTGGGGCCCAGCAAGGCCTGACCGAGCTGGCCCCGTGCGCCCTGAGCAGCCGTCACCCTGCACCTAGGGCCCAGCGTGCCTGACCGAGCTCGGCCCCTGTGCGCTGAGCAGCCGTCACCCTGCAGCGAGCAGCTCAGGTGCCTGGGGACCAGGTGAGCTTTACATCTTCCGCTCTCGAAGCTCCCTACACTTCAGAATTACATGTTTGTGACCTTCGTCTTTATTAATNTGAGCAGCTCAGGTGCCTGGGGACCAGGTGAGCTTTAAATCTTCTGCTCTCGCAGCTCCCTACACTTCAGAATTACATGTTTGTGACCTTCGTCTTTATTAATAGAAGCTCCTGCATTAATGTCAGGACCCAGCTCCAGCAGGACAGACTGTGTCTGCTCTCANTAGAAGCTTCTGCATTAATGTCAGGACCCAGCTCCAGCAGGACAGACTGTGTCTGCTCTCACGCCGCAGGTCCCGAGGAACAGGGCTGAGCCCGAAGCGAGGCGAGGGAGGCAGCGGGCTCTTGTGAGAGGGCGCCAAGGGAGGCACAGACGGGGCTCCCTGCCTCTCTGCACCACGGGTCAGGAATCAAGCTACGTAGGAAGCAAGCTACGCAATGCTTCAGGAAATAACATCCACGAGGTCAGTGCAAATCATCCACGCTGAATAAACGATCCAGTCTGGAACAAGGGCTGATCCATGTCACAGAGTTTTCCTTCTGCGTCAGGCGCTGTGCGGCTCTGGGCGGCCTCTCAGTAAGTACTTGTTAGCTCGCCCCCGATTCAGCTTCCAGAGCTCCCTTAAGGCCATGCAAGGGGCAGCACCAGAACAAACGAACCAACCGCAACGGCGGTCTCTCCGCAAGGCCCGCAGACAGCTCCCGCTGCCCGACCCACTCAGGGATGCGCCCGGGGCTCCCCCAGGCATGGGAGAGGGGCCGGGGTCTCCGGCTCATGAGCAGGTGACGGATGACAGAAAGCACCCAGACACTAGTGACAACTTTGCTAATATCTATTCTTAGCTCTTCTCTCAGCTGATTTCAAACCTGGGGACATTGTTAAAGCAGGTGATCAAGTGTCCTCACCACTGAGCAAAACAGGACGGAGGGTTGGCGTCCCTCATCCCGAATAACATTCCGATTGACCTGCTGGATGCGTAAAGCATGTCTTGGAAGAAAACTGTGCATCTTTGGGGAGTAAATTAATTTTTGTGATATTTATTAAAGGGGCTCTAGTGAAATGTCAGAGAGTTAGAGAAGCTTTAAAAAATATCGAGCCAGCTCTTAGGATAAGTGGTTTCCCAAGCGCCGTGCTTCAGAGGGAGTCATCGAGGAATGACTCCCTCACCCTCCCTACACCCTGCCCCTGCACCGGTGCCCTAAGGCCCTGTGTCCCACAGAAAGCCAGTCCCCTCCCTGGTCCTACTCCAAGCTAGTCTCACACAGACTCCGGGCAAATCTCACACAGATTTTTTGGCCTTAGACACAGTGACAAACACAGCTTTCTTTTAAAATAGCCCACCAACCACCACACCTCTTGCTCCCCCTACTCACCCCCAAATTTAAGTTAGCATCTCAGATGCTGACCCAGTCTCTCCTCACACAAGAGTGGAAAGAAATGACTCCTGGGAGGAATGCAGAATCAAATGAACGGGGTTAAAGGGTAGAGATTTCTAATTAAAAAGAGAAAGTCTTGTAAAATATGCTCGGTTTCTAAAAATTCACTTGCGCCTCCCTTCCGAAGAAGGCGACTTTTGCTAGAAAGTAATTTTCACGAACTAGGTGAAACAGGTGGATCATGGCCAAGCTACAAAATGCCAAGACTTAGATCCCCTTTTTTTTTTTTTTTTTTAAGTATGTCATTATTTTTTTCAGAGAGGAAGGGAGAGGGAGAGAGAGAGAAACATCAATGATGAGAGTCGTTGATCAGCTGCCTCCTGCACGCCCCCGACTGGGGATGGAGCCCGCAACCCAGGCCTGTGCCCTGACAGGGAATCGAACCGCGATCTCCTAGATCCTAGGCCGATGCTCAACCACTGAACCAAGCTGGCCGGGCTAGGTAATCTTTCTTCACAATTCCTCATATTCGTGCCTCTTCACTCCCCATATTATCCATAAGTAAACCAATGCATTAGGGCCCCTTGGAATCCTGACGTTAAGAGTCTACATCAATGGTTGCCGGAGGGGAGGATGGTTAGGGACTGAGGGGAAAAGGGGAAGGGATTAAAAAGTACAAATAGGTGGTTACAGAATAGTCCCGGGGATGTGAAGTACAGCACAGGGAACATAGTCAGTAATATAATATCTATGCCCGGTGTCAGGTGGGTACTTGAAATATCAGTGGACCACTTTGTAAAGTATAAGATTGTCCAACCACTATGCTGTACCCCTGAAACTAACACAATATTATTGAAAGTAGCCTGCAATTAAAAAAAAATTAAATATGAAAAAATAATCTAGATCGGAGAGCAGATATGACTTACTGATGGGGCATGGAAAACGCTGTAGAACTTAGGAGCCCAGTCTCTACCATCTCAAGAGCTTGTTTCATTTCCAGCTTCTTGTACAAAGAAACAATGCTAGATTTTGGCAGGTTCTTTCGGATTAGGATTTTCCGTAAATATTTATGGTCAAACTTCTTAAACCTAAAAATGAAAACCAACATTTTGGAAATGTTTATTTTCTGTATGTGTTATACAACTATGTATTTTTCTTAAAACAAATTACTACTTAACTTTTAGTCTGAGGAACACCAGGACAGTGCCTGGAACTCATAGCCATTGAGCACATTTAAAAAAAATTTTTAGAATCATAGAATTAAAACATCTTTTAAAATAAAGAAAGAATGGATTACTGTCCTGAATACATTGAAAATCAACTAAACAAAAGGAAGGGACAAGCAATCAGAACAAAAAGTGTGCATAAGCGGGGAGCAGGGAGGCCCAGCCTAGCTCAGCTCCAGTCGTAAGAGAAGAACTGAGGGTGCTGAGGCTTTTGAGCAGGTGCTTCATTCTAACAGCTCGCGGCCGCTGTGCTTGCAGCAACGCCGGCCTGTCCGCCAAAACCTGGCGAGTGTAAGTGGCCCGTGGTTATGCCGCAGATCACTTTCAGTCCTGCCAGTTAAGGGAGGACGGGAGGGGTGGTGAGACCCACCTACACCTTGACAGGCTGAATGACGGGGACTCTCAGGCGGGCTGCTGATGGCAGCTGACTGTCGTGAGCCTATGTGTTGAGGCCTTCGGAGCTGGCCATTTGTTTGGAGTAGAAATTTTCAACACTTCCGATCATTTTATGTTCAGGAAGAAATCAGTCTGCCTGCTTTGCTTGTTGCCACTCTCCTTGCCCACTGCCATGTGGCTTTCCAATGCACCGCTGGGCATTTCCCCCCGCCCCCCTCGCTGACACTAGCTTCCCTTCCAGCTCCCTAACCACTTCCTTTGAGTCTCCCCGCCCTTTCTCTTCCTTACTGTCCCGTAGATGAGGGCTTCTGAGTCCTGTCCTCGGCCACCTTCCCCTCCTCACACTCTTGTAGTGACCTCACCCGTGCCCGTGGCTTCGGTTACCAAACACTCTGGCAACTCACAGCCTTTATCTCAGCCCTAATTTTCCTCTTAAACTGAGACTAAATTCCAAAAGGGGGCTGAATATACATTTGAGACACCTTAGGCAGAATCTATATTTAATTCTAAACATTTGTCGACAGTGTATAAATTTACCATGACATTGGAATCTCCATACACTCCCTACCTGGAAATCTGAGGGTCATTCTTACTTCCCACCTGCTTCTTGTATGCCATGGCTCCCAGGCCCTTTATCTCCTGGTCCCCTTCCTCTAGATTCTTTCTAGTTTTATGCCATCTTCAATGTAACCTTTTGAGGTTCCCTGTGCCATCAACATCCTTTCTAGAGATTGAAACCCTGTCTCCTTACTTGTCTCTCACTTGGTAGTGGCTCCACTGCCCACACACGTCTTCAATTCCCGCCTTCAAGTGATCCATCAGCTGCCAAACCAAACACAAGGAAATGATTGCCAGTGAAACGTTAACTCTGAAAGACACAGGGAAATCCATGCAGCTCAGGGAACAAAGGATGCCTTGGTTTCCTGGAGCATTGCTTCTTTTTTCTCACTGTCTTCATGTAAATGAAACTTGTCATTCTTTTCATAGTAATTTAACTTCATAATTGAAAGACTCTGCAGAAAAAAGTTTGTTAATAATGCACATAACTTGCAATGAAAACAGGGTACTTGCCATTTCCTTTGAATAATATTTTTCTAGAACGATCTAGAAAATATCTCATTACTGAAATCATGTGGATATAAAGCATAATAATTAGCTGTTACTTTTAATTTCATTGCAAAAAAAAAGATAATGTCACTGTTCAATTTATAGTTTCTAAAATATAATACTATAAATATTCTGTCATAATAACAATACAACAATACACTTTACCTACATGCCTAATTTCTTTATCTGACATTTTGTCTCAGTATTTACATTTCATCATCCAAGCCAATAATACTACATTTGATTTATAAAAATTGTTCATAGAAATTTAGGGGAAAAGCACAATCTCTTCAAAATTTATAACTTAGTCTTCCTATAATTTAAATTTATGATCAGTAAGGTTCATACTAGCTTCTAAATTTTTTTGCAATATAGATTAAAATATTAAATTAATTCTGAAATACTTAATTGCTGAATATTCTACTAATAATTATAACTTTTTTGAGAAAAATAAATAAGAAAGAAGGAAATATCCAATTTCTATTGTCTTAGATATGTAATCTCTAATTTCTCAAAGTTACGAGCAGAGGGGAGAAAGGTGGAGACAAAATTTTTAATTAGGTTAAAACATTACTTATTTTAAAATGTTCACTCCGTATCTTCATCTATTGAATATCTTTAAATGACCTTGAAAATTTTTGTTTTGGGTTTCCTGAAGTTTAATTGCTTTATTTCCTCAGGTGACCTTAGCCATGAAATTCAGGGCTGATTTTGAATGATTTCAGCAGTCTCTCCAGCTTCAGAAACATGAATTCGCAAGGATAAAAGAAACCTAAAGATTATCTGAGTCAATCATCCCCTCCAAGCCTCCTGCACAGTATCTAGGCCAAGTGTTCCCAGTGGTTACTAGCACCCGCCCATTTCAGCTTCGGGTGTGCCANTCACTCCATATCTTCATCTATTGAATATCTTTAAATGACCTTGAAAATTTTTGTTTTGGGTTTCCTGAAGTTTAATTGCTTTATTTCCTCAGGTGACCTTAGCCATGAAATTCAGGGCTGATTTTGAATGATTTCAGCAGTCTCTCCAGCTTCAGAAACATGAATTCGCAAGGATAAAAGAAACCTAAAGATTATCTGAGTCAATCATCCCCTCCAAGCCTCCTGCACAGTATCTAGGCCAAGTGTTCCCAGTGGTTACTAGCACCCGCCCATTTCAGCTTCGGGTGTGCCATATGAGACAAGTCAGAATGCTCCTTGTTAACTGAGCTGAAGCCTGTCTCCTTACATCTGCTAAACATTAGTTCTCAGTTTTATTTCTTGGAGCCTTTCAGAATGACATCCCTTCAATATTGTATTGAATTTAAATAAAACAAACAGGTAGAAACCATATTCAACTTCATTCTCATCTTTGTCAGACTTGGATATTTTCACTGAAAACTGCCACGAGGCCTTGTCTGCAGTAGTAGAAGCCTTTACCCCTTCCAGTTAAAAGTTCAGAAGGGCAGAGGATCCCACACGCCATTGGAACAAAGGTTTTAGAACAAAGTAGGACAACTCTCAACATTAGTCACAGTGAGAGTTTTTTTAAGTGTCAAATTATTTAGGAAAGTCCCCAGTTATTATAACACTAATCTAGATACTGCAGTAAAGGCATTTTGCAGATATGATTAAAGTCCCGAGTCAGTTACTTTAAGTAAGGGAGACTATTCTAGAAAATTTGGGAGGGCCTGATTTGGTCAGTTGCAAGGCCTAAAGAGGAGAGCTGAGCCCGCCAGTTGTGCACAGCAGCTGTAGCTGGTGCCTGAGTTCCAGTCCACCCTTCTTAATGACCTGTTTACAGATTTTGGACATGCCTAGCCAGTCCCCACAGTAGGCAAGCCAATTTCTTGTAACAAAGCTCTTAATATATGTTGTCTACTGGTCCTGCTTTTCTTCTCAGAAACACTGCCAGCTTGGACCAAAAGGGACAGAGAGAAGACAAATTAAAGAAGGCTTTTTGATCCCCAAAACTCTCCAGGCAAGAAACGGGCTGATTAAATTACTGTGCTCCAAACCTGCAACCTTCGATGGGAAAGGAAGTATGACTCAGAGGGTGCAGTTTAGAACAAGAAGTGAAACAAAGAATCATAGAAGATTGTTCTCGGGCCTTGAAACCAAATAGTTTTCCCAGGTGAGCTGAGAAGTGTGCTTGGGATAGGTGACTCCTTTTTTCCTTCCATTTCCCTTCCCTGGAAAGTGAGTATCTATAGCTATTGTCCCGTGGCTGGCCTGCCAGTGTGCTTTGGGAGCACATAACTTGTTTCTTGAGTGTCACAGATTTGGAACTGGAGAGGAACTTGGCCTCAGGATGTATTATACCCAGTGGCCCAGCCATGCCTGATTTAGATGATTGATCATACTTGGGACTTGTGAACTGATAAGATTTAGATGAGATTTTTGGTCTTTGAGTTAATATTATAATGAATTGAAGCTTTCAGGATGTTGGGATAGAGTTAATGTACTTTGCATGTGGAACAGACATGAATCTTTGAGGAAGGCAGAATAACAGCCTCCAAAGGTGCCCCTGTCCTAATACCCAGAACCTGTGAACATGTTAATTATATGAGATGAATTAAGACAGCTATGCCAGTCAGCTGACTTTAAGATAGAATATCCTGAATTATCCACATGGGCCCAATATAATCATAAAAGTCTTTAATATGGAAGAGGAAGGCAGAGGAGTCAGTATGGGGGTGATGCCGCACGAGAGAGACCTGCCTGGGCACCGCTGGAGACGAGGGCGGAGGGGCCCGGGGGGCCAGGGAATGCCAGCAGCTTCCAGCCGCTGGAAGGGGCAGGGAAACAGAGTCTTCCCTGAAACCCCCGAGAGCAGTGCCGTCCGACATCTTGATTCTAGCCCGGCAAGGCCCATTTTGAATTTCTGACTTCCAGAAATATAAGGTAATAACTTGCTGTTTTTTTAAACCACTGAGTTTGTAGTAATTTCTTTGTTTGTTTTAAATATGTGATTTTTTATTGAGTTCAGAGAGAGGAAGGGAGAGGGAGAAAGAGAGAAACATCAATGGTGAGAGTCATTGATCGGCTGCCTCCTGCACGCCCCCGACTGGGGATCAAGCCCGCAACCTGGGCATGTGCCCTGACCAGGAATCGAACCATGACCTCTGGTTCATAGGTGGACGCTCCACCACTGAGCCACGCTGGCCGGCTGTAGTAGTTTCCTACAGCAGCAATAGGGACCTAGTACAGTCACTCTTGGTGAAGCTGGAGAGGAAAGAGGCTATGTCTAGGGACATGTGCACACATCTCACCAAAGCCCTAGACTACTCCCATGGGTGGCAAATGGGGAGCATTTTGTTAACTTACTAATTATGACAAAGACATAACTTACACGGATGTGAAGCTCTTCGTTGATGGATTCTTTCTTATTGGTTTTTTTAACATCCAGGTACCTGACCAGAGGGCCAATTGTGATTCCCTAGATCATAAGTAACAAAATAAAGGGTTTTGTTGTAGTGAAGTTTGTCACTGTAGAGAACAGACCTATTAGCAAAACTATTAGGACTTCCAATTTTTATGTCTTTGTTTTGTACTAGCTTCTACTGGTTAAATGCGTCAGTTTAGTTTAGTTTTTATTTAATTCTTTTAAACTCAATAATAAAAAATAGGCATTATGTCTATATTTTAAAGCAGGAGTTTGGTTTCAACCCTTAAAACAAGGATGGGGAAATTCTGGCCCATGGGCCATATACAGCCCGGGAAATCATCTGGCCTGGCCCTGCCAAGGCTTCCCTAAAGAGAAGCAGCTCCAGCCGTCACATTAGGGGGGAGTTAATTAAATGTTTGACCAAATAGAGCAGGCGAATTTTTAAGTCGATTATTTTGTATGGCCCTTGAATGATGTTATAAATCCAAATGGCCCTTCGCAGAAAACAGGATCCCCACCCCTGCCTTAAAACAACCTCTCATTAGTTTGCTGAAAGGTAGCTCAAGCTAAAATAAAAATTTGTGCTATCGAGTACTAATTGGAATCTCATTTTTAGCAATACACAGGAGAGTAGCTATAATTCATGTTTCCCAGGAATATTTTGATTAATATGTTTTACTGATTAAAAACCAACATGTTTTAGAGGTTGAGAGATACCACAAACATGATCTAGAAATATTTGGGAATTTAATTTGGGTATATTATCTAATTTCTCAAAATAATAGACAGAGGATATAGATAGAAAATCATGTCTGAGCATCAAATAAACTGTACTTTTTTTGGAATTATAGTGATTTAATACATAATCCTGAAAGAACCTACTTATTTCTAATAAGTGTGTATGAGTCAAAGGGCATTGCCTGGGGAGGCAAAGCATTTCCATCATCTCATGTTCTCACTGAGTAACCAAAGAGGGTGTGTAATTTTCAACCTGAAAATTACAAGTCCACCAACCTGAATAAATACAGTAAAGTATATGACTACCAGAGTCGCAGTGACAAACATTTTCTTCCTGGGGAAAAGGGACAGAGGCAGCAAAAACGCGAGCGAGAAGCTTCCTGCTCCGCGGACGCCGCTGTAGAAGATGACGCACTGGTCCTTGCCCGAGAAGGGGAAGGTCCGGAACCGGTTGCTGACGGCGAAGAGCGCGAACACGCCTGGGGGACGGGGAGAGCAGAGGTCGCAGTGAGTGGGTGCAGGTCAGAGGCCCCAGACCTGCGCAAAGCCGTCAAGGCCAGGAGCCCGAACTCAAGGCCAGGCGCCCTAACTCTAGGCCAGGCGCCCTAACTCAAAGCCAGGGGCCCCGAATTCAAAGCCAGGCGCCTGAATTCAAAGCCAGGCACCCTAACTCAAAGCCAGGCGCCCTAACTCAAAGCCAGGCGCCTGAATTCAAAGCCAGGCGCCCTAACTCAAGGCCAGGCACCTTAACTCAAGGCCAGGCCCCCTAACTCAAAGCCAGGTGCCCTAACTCAAAGCCAGGGGCCCGAATTCAAAGCCAGGCGCCCGAACTCAAAGCCAGGCACCCGAATTCGAAGCCAGGCGTCCTAGTCCCAGCCACCCTGCCTGCCTGTCCCAAAGAGCGCTTCTGCACACCAGTGGCTCCCTCAAGTCCTCTACGTGTGTATTTAAGGTAATAAAGTCTTGATGCTTTTTGACATGAGAAATGGCAGATACTTTCTGTCTAGACTCATAACTTTTGCTCTGCCTTTCAATGGCCAAGGCCAAGGCAGAGCAAGGCCATCGGCCGGGGAGTCCAAGCGCTCCTACCACCTCACGTGCGCACTGAGTAGCCAAAGGGGGTGTGTAATTGTCAGCGTGAAGGCGCCTTCTCGGTGACTCTGGTCCCTGCGGGGTGAGCAAGGCTTTAGTGGTTGGCTTGGTTCTTCTTGAGACTCAGTGCAAAGAAGAAAGGATGCCGGCAGGAGTTCAAGAGGAGGGCTCCTTGCTGTCAGTAAGCGGAGGGGGCAGGTGGGAGCTCATCTAAAACACAAGTACTTTCTACCACACTGATTTTCCATCCCGGGGTGACCCCCAGGACCCACCACCACGGCGACAGGTGCCTTCATTGACGTGCTGACTACAGAAGCCTCACCGCAGAATATTCGTCTCCTCACAGGGCCTGCCGCAGGCAGCCTCCGGCGGCCGCAGGTGTGTCAGTTTCCCATTTCCTGCGGTTTGTCCCGGCTCCTCCACCTACTTAGTAGTCCTGTGACCTCGGGCAAGGCTCTTAATCTTGTCATGTCCTCAAAGCCCTCGCCTGCTTAATGGAGGTAATGAGAGTATTTCCTTCAGAAGGTGGATGTGAGGTTGAAATTAATTTCATAACTATAGACAATTTGTCTCATGGTTCATGACGTGGACTGCTATTAGCTGTAATGAGCCAGGCGAGGAAGAGGGCAGGCTGGAGGGGAGGCCTGGGCCCAACACCTGGCCCTGCCCATCCCTGGATGTGGGCGAGGAGCCCTGCTCCTGTGACTGTGCCCTCAGCTGGAAGATGGGGGCCGGGCTGGGCGGTCGCCGAGGGTCAGAGCTGTTGGGGGGCCCACGGTATCCATCCCCTCCTAGGTGGTTCCTGCTCTCGGCCGGCCTGAAGCTCTGCAGTGCGACTTCTCTTGGCGTCAGCCTTCCTAACCCTGGGGACTCCTGCAGTGTCAGGACGGAAAGGGAACTTGGAGATTTGCCCCACCACCAGTTTGTGGTGAGGAGGAGTATTTCGCGTAGTTAAATATCTGTCCGAGGTTGAATGCTAGTCAGTTACAGTGCCAGCATTTGATGTGGGATTATAACTTTCTATCACAGTTTCCTTAATTCTTTCTCCTGGGGATGCAATAGGCACATATATTCAGAGTAAGGTTTATGAATATTTTAATATTTCTTCACTTATTCTTTCAGAGATCCTAAAGCCCATCCTAAATTAATTTAGAATTGATATGCTCAATAAGTTCTCTGCCATTTCTCTTAATTTCTCTTTGAGTAATTGGTTTGACAATATTAAGCAGTCATTTAAAATGCTTCAAATATTAGTGAAATCGTTGAAAAAGATAATTGCTTCTAGTCAAAAGACAACACATATATTGTAGTTCAGTACTTAATGGTTTTTCTAGGTCCAGAAACATAAAACAAGATAAATCAGCAGCCATCTGACATCTCATTTTTTAGGGGTGATGCCACTTGAGTTATGTATAGAGTTGGCTTTACTAATTAATACTAAGCACTTCTTAAAAGTAAAGACTCACTCCCTGGTCCTTGATTTCTGTACATCACTCTCAAACCTCAACGGAAACCATCTATATTATTTAGGAAAAAATTTTAACAGTACCTGCCTTACATAGAATACAATTTGTGACATCTCACTTTCCCTGTAATTGCCTGCAGCTCATAGTCTATATCTGATTTAAGGTGCAAGAGGGGACAAACTAACACCAGAAGTGAAGAGCAAGGGAGAAATTTCCTGTTATATTTAAATGTGTAAATGTGAAAGTTCTCTCTTCAACTAAAAAATAATGTTCCTTGCTCTGGGCAGAACCTTATCAGCCACTAAGGACTTTGAACTGATTGAGAAAGTAAACAGAACATTCCTGGTCACCACAAGGTGCCCAGACTCCCCCAACCAGTAAAACCAGTTTTTATCACCTCACTGCTATGTTCTTACAGGGCAGAAGGAATAAGGAAAACATTTAAGAGCAGCAGGCAGGAGTCTTGGGGGCCCTGCTGTCCCTTACTGATGGCTCTCCAGATCAGGCAGAAGGCCAGGGTGAAGCACACGAAGGCCCAGTTCCACTCGTGGTTCTTCCCCACGGTGGACACGCCCATGAAGATGAAGATCAGGGTCTCACTGACACTGCTCAGCATCTTCATGAAATACTTGATGGTCGTGTAGGATGTCTGGGACACGTTTTCCTCCACATACTTCTTCATGGTCACCGCGCAGGCCGTGATCCTGCAGAAGGAGCCGAGTCTCAGAGAGAAGCACAAGATCCTGCCCCTGCCCCCCACCCACCTTCTTGCTGATGCCACAGATACAGGGATCCTGTTTTTACCCAGAGAGAGCACCTCCTCCACTCTCTCTGGCTGCAGCTATCCCACAGGCTTTCTTTCCGCCTTTTCTCCCTCCCCAAGGGGTTTGAGTGGGGGGAAGGAGGGTGCCATGGCCTTCCCACAGCAAAGCGGCAGGCGGCTCAGGCGGAACTGGAAGCGAACTCTTCCCATCCCGCCCTCCTTCGTCAAGAGCTTTGTCAAGGCCCCTCTCACTCTCTACGTCACTCCGCCTTTTAAACCAAAATAAATCCATTGCAGTTACCTAGGAAAACCAATTCAACAAGGGCCCCATTTTCTCCACCGGAGCAATATTTCTTACAATAATTTAATGAGACAATTTTCATTTAAAATATTTCTGGTCTAGATCCAATTAGGAAGTGTGTGGGTGGAGAAAGACCTTTGCCTTGTCTTAGTAGCTCAGATCATTTTTAAGGTGGGAAAATAATGAGTGTTTAGCTTTTACACTATTATATTTAACTAAAATAGTTATCTCTGTACAAGGAAATTAACTTGAGTAGCTGAGTATGAGAACAACATGCCCAGATATAATGAGCCAAGTTGAGAAGCCTCATTCCAAGATCTACACAAGGATAAATGTTTAAAAAAATACTTTCATTAAGAAAAAAGAAGTCTGGACTTGCAGTCTAATCCCATCTCCCTCGTTTCCCTCTGCACTGCAGAGCCCTGGAGCTGTGATGTGGTTTGAAGGAAACGCAGAAGGCAGAGCCCAAGAGCAGAAGACAGTCCCTCTGGCATACCTCCCCTCAACTTTAGGATAGTGAATTTTCCAAAGAAAAAAATACTGAGACAAGACTTTAACCTGGAAGTTCTCCCACATTTGTCTGCAGCAGCTTTTCTGATCATTTTTAAATGCCTTATAACTGCTACGCTCTCCTCGGGCAATCACGAGCAGAGAGCAAACAGAAACGCTGGAAGGAGTGTTTGGTGGAGGACCTGAGTCAGATTCCACATGTGTCTGATGGACCCGAGCCCTGCAAGGCCTTTGAGAGTCTGCGCCGGCCGTCCAGCCGTTGCCGGACGCTGGCCCCAAGATGCGGCCCTAAGCTCTCCTTCGTTGTTTGTACTCACGCCAGGATGCCAGAGAGATAGAGGGTCTCCGCGGCTAAGTAAGACAAATAGCTGAACATGAAGACGATGAGCGGTTCAATCGCAGAGATGTTCTGAGTGAAACGTGTGATAAACGCAGAAATGAATCCAAAAATGATGCCGAAAAATACGCCTCCAACCCCCACAATAATGAATCGGGCACATCCAGCCAAAATGTCGACGGGCTCTATACTTTCAAATTTGTGCATCTTTGTGAAGGCAATTAATATATTGTATAAGACCTGGACAAGAAGAAAATTAAAAAAAGAAAAGAAACATGATTAGAAGTGAGAAATATTTTACATACAGATTCTTAACTTTGTGTCTAGTTAAATGATACACAACAATAGTAACACAGCTGCTTACTTTTTCAATGTATTCCAACTAATTTAAATTTAGTTTTTCTGAATAAGTATCATCTTCACAGCTTTCCAACACTGAGCACCTACCGTGTGCCAGTCTCTTGCTAAGCTCTGTCATTATCAATTTATTTCCTCTAGCCCCAGATGGGCCCTTCAGCACGGGCTCTGCAGTAAACCGTGAACTTCCCTTCCGTGTCCCTCCTTTCAGGCGGGCACCCGTAAGCTCTCTCAGCAGAAGGGCACTCGGGAGCAGGGGCTTCCTGCGGCTTCCCCGGGGCCTGGGGCGGGCCAGCCAGGTGGGAATGCGGACCCCTGGTGAATGCTGCTCGAGCCACGGGCCCACATGGGGCCCCTCTGCAGCTTCCCATCTTTGGCCTGGTGACACACGGGGGGGGGG